TCAGGGGCGGCTGCTCCAGGGGCGGCTGCGTCAGGGGCGGCTGCTCCAGGGGCGGCTGCTGCAGTGGCGGCTGCTCCAGGGGCGGCTGCTGCTGTGGCGGCTGCTCCAGGGCGCGGGTTAGGGCAGGGCGCCGCGGCGGGCAGGGGTGACGCCACGCGGGTCCCGCAGGGGCGTCGCGACGCACACGAGCCGCGCCTCGCGGGTCCCGCAGGGGCGTCGCGACGAGGCAGGGGCGACGCGGCGGGGCCGCGACTAGCGACGGGGCGGGGCCGCGTCTGGCGACGGGGCGAGGCCGCGACTGGCGACGAGGCGGGGCCGCGACTGGCGACAGGGCGGGGCCGCTACGGGCAGCGGGGCGGGGTCGTGAAGGGGCCGCGAGGGGGCCGCAAAGGGGCCATGAAGGGGCCGCAAAGGGGCCGCAAAGGGGCCGCGAGGGGGCCGTGAAGGTGCCGCGAAGGGGCTGTGAAGGGGCCGCGAAGGGGCCGTGAAGGGGCCACGAAGGGGCCGCGAAGGTGCCGTGAAGGGGCCGTGAAGGGGCTGCGAAGGGGCCGTGAGGGGGCCGCGAAGGGGCCACGAGGGGCCTGAAGGGGCCGCGAAGGGCCGTGAGAGGGGCCATGAGAGGCTGTGAGAGGGGCCGCTATGGGGCCGTAGGGGAGCGCGACGGGCCACCAAGGGCAGGGGACGCGACGGGAGGGTAGGCACACGGGGCGCGACTCGGGCAGGGGCGAAGCGCGCTCCGGGCAGGAAAAAAAAATCGATATTCGGTAGGCCCTAGGAAACGTTCCCACTAGGGAACCTGCTCTATACCATGTGAAAGAACGAGGGATGGATGAACTAGCAAGCAGGTGGGTACAAGTAGGAAAACCTAAAAGTGTTGTACCCCATATTGTCTACCCCACTACAACCTACACAGACTATAGCATATGAGTTTGACAGATGGCGGCGCCACAGCAATTGCCACAGGGGTCTGCTAGGGCGGTCGCAGTCTTGGTATATGGGCTGGGGGATGGGGGAGGGGGAGTGGGGGAGGGAGTAGGGGGGAGGTGGGGGGAAGGGAAGGGTAAGAGGGGGACTATGGTGGTCGGACAATGTCTGATGGCATGGTGAGCGAGAGCACGGAATGGCATGGCATGGTATGAGATGGCATGGCATGGCATGATATTGGATGGCAGGGCATGGCTTGCAACGGCGCAAGCATGCGAGGATACTGTCTACATGGGACACCACGTGTGCATGCCATGCGTGCATGCTTTATGTGGGAAACCACATCTGCATGCCATGCATGACATGCCATGCGTGACTGGCCTAACAAGTATACCACATTTGCATACCATACCATGCCATGCATGCCACGCCATGCTATGCAATAGTGCATAGCCCACCTCGTACACCACATCAGCGTGAAAGATATCGTTGCCGAATGTGGGCAACAGGCGAATCTGATCTGTTGGGATGCCAATGAGGGGAGCACCCACCTGCTTGTATGAAAGCACCTGCAGGGAGGGGCATGAGCATGGCAAGCCAATGAGGTACAACCTAGCTGCTCAACCCGTAGGGAGGACGGGCATGGACAGGGGTGGTAAAAAAATATATCAGGTCTATTTCATTTTACTAGCTAAAAAACAATGTGGCATGAGAGGCACGGGTATGACGGCGATGACGCGGATTTAAAAGGCGCCTGCATGCGAATCTGATCTACCTGGATGCCAATGAGGCGCCTCATTGGCATTGCCTAGGGCTGCCTAGGCGCCTGGGGTGAAACCTGACCCCACCTAGGCAGCCCTAGCAAGATTGGGCAGGCGTTGCAGCAGCGTGGACATTCAAAGAATGATCAGAAACACGGGTGCTTGGATAATTCTTCGAGATCTCTCTAAACGGTAGGATATCCGGCAGCCGGCTGGATGCCGGTCGTCATCCTTCCAAGCCTTCGAGCGTGCTTTGAGCACCTCGTCTCTTTTAAGAAGCAGAAGAGAAGCCCGTCCATCTTTCTCCGGCGCCTCGCATCCGGGGCACGGGTGAAACCCGAGTCTTTTTTGCGAGCAGGACACAAGCACGCGCTTTCCCCACCTAGGAGGCCGACGCAGCGCGAGCGCTGCACCTGCCGACCCGGGGTTTGGACTGCGATTGGCCCGCAGCCCAAGAAGGGCTGCGATTGACCCGCAGCCCAAGAAGGGCTGCGATTGACCCCGCAGCCCAAGAAGGCATGCAGGTGGCGCTGCTTGACCCGACCCGGCTCGACTCAAAACCCACCTGTCCACGCCTCAAGAGTGTCAGAATGATGTAATTGTCTAGCCTGTAGTGGGGTACTCTATAGCGAGTACAACCCAATTAGGGTTTCCTATATGTATCTCAACTGCTGCTAGTGCAAACCTCTCTTTCTGCTTCTAAACTTTTCTTCTTACTTGTGACATGCTATCAGAGCCTGTCCTTCCTTGGCCTGTGGGCCCACCAACCTGCTTCTGCTACTACTCGATCTGTCGCACGCCCCGTGGCGATCTGTCGCACGCCCCGGCCCCGCTCGACCTGCGCGCCCACCGCGTCGACCCTTGCATCGCCTCAGGGGACCCGCGCGCCACCCCCGTCGACCCTCGCGTCGCCCCCGGGGACCCGCGCGCCACCCCTGGAGCCGTACGCGACCCCCCCCGCTGCCTCGTCACGGCGCCCTGGGGAGCCGCGCGCCACCCCTGGAGCCGTGCGTGACCCCCCTTGCTGCCCCGTGGTGGCGCCCTTGGGGCCGCGCGCCGTCCCCCTCGCCGTCCCCCGCGCTCTTGCCCCGTGCCACCGGTTTTAGGGTTTGGGGGTGGGGAGTGTGGGGGTGGCGGTTGTGGGGGTGCCGTGTCAGAATATTATTATCTAGTCTGTAGTGGGGTGCTCTATAGCGAGTACAACCCTGTTAGGGTTTGCTATATGTATCCCAAATACTGCTAGTGAAACTCCTCCTTTCTTCATTCCTCGTTCTTTTCACATGCTATCATAGCAGGTCGACCCTCCTGGGTCGTTCCTGTGTATGGGCCCACCACCTCACTGCTTCCGCTGCCACTGCTACTCTGTCTGTTGCACGCCCCGTGGCGTGCGACGGATTTTTCTTCCCGCCGCGCGCTCGGAGCGTGCGGCGGTTTTCGGCCCGCCGTGCGCCCCGAGGCGCGTGGCGGTTTTCTGCCCGCCGTGCGCCCCGGGGCGTGCGGCGGTTCTCTGCCCGCCGTACGCCCCGAGGCGCGCGGCGGCTTTCTGCCCAGTCGGTCCGCGCGTTGCCTCCGGAGGGCGCTTCGACGGGCGACGGGGACCAGCCCGTCGTCCCCGGTCGCCCGTCCCGGCCAGCGCGGGCTGCGCTAGCCCCGAGCGCGGCCTGTACGGGCTGCGCCCGGCCCGCGCGCGGCCCGTACGGGCTGCGCCAGGCCCGCGCACGGCTCGGGCTGCCTGCGCGCGGTTTGTCTGGCTGTCCTAGGCCCGTGGACGGCCCGTTCTTCTCTGCCCCTGAGTTGCCCGCTGTCCCCCGTGCTTCTGACGGCACCCCACCCCTGCTGCTGCCCGTTCTCCTGAATTAGGGTTTGGGGGTGGGGGGTATGGGGTTGCAGTTTCTGTGCGCCGTCCCCTGCTCCTCCTCCTCCTCCGTCTCCCAGTGCTGCAGCTGCCGCTGAGGGGGGTGGATGTGCTGTGTTGGAGCCGTCGGAGTGGTACGAGGGGGTGACATGGGAGTGGAGTTAGGGGTGAAGCAGTTAGGGTGTGTGTCAAGGGTGTGGGTCAGTTGGAGGAGGTTGTGTGGAGGTAGCTGTCGTGTCGCCTACAGCGCCTGTAGTCCGTCGCCCTTGCTTCGGTAGCCAGTGAGCCTGTTGCACCAGACGCCGGTGGGTCCGTTGCTCCTGCCGCTCGTCTTAGCCGCGGAGCCAGTCACTCCAGTAGTCCGTCGCCCTTGCTTCGGTAGCCATTGAGTCAGCCACTCCTGTGCCCGTGCCTTTGCAGCTTCAGTCGTTGCCTCCCATCTCTCCTTCCAGAGTTCCTCCTCCTCCTTACTTGCCCGCTGTTATTACCTCTAGCTTTGCTTCTTATTGTGAACTCCTGCTCATTGTGCTGATTACACCCCACTTTGGCTATGGGGGTGTGTCAGAATGTTATTATCTAGCCTGTAGTGGGGTGCTTTATAGCGAGTACAACCTTGTTAGGGTTTGCTATATGTATCCCAACTACTGCTAGTGAAACTCCTCCTTTCTTCATTCCTCGTTCTTTTCACATGCCGGTTGTGTGCGCCGTCCCCTACTCCTCCTCCTCCTCCGTCTCCCGCTGCTGAAGCTGCCGCTCAGGGGGGTGGGTGTGTGGGAGCCGAAGGAGTGGTGCTAGGGGGGTGACGTGGGAGTGGAGCTAGGGGTGCAGCAGGGGGTGTGTGCTAGGGGCGTGGGGCAGTTGGCGGAGGTTGAGCGGAGGTCGCAGTCGTGTCGCCAGCAGCACCAGTAGTCCGGAGGCTACAATCTCCGGTAGTCGCCAGTCGCTTGTGGGTCAGTTGCTCTAGTCAGGAGGCTACAATCTCCGCGGAGCCAGTTACTCATGTAGTCCGGGCCATTGCTTCGGTAGCCACTGAGCCAGCAACTCCTGTGTATCTGCAGCTTCCGCTGTCGCCTTCCATCTCCTCTCCTCTCACAGTCCCTCCTCCTCCTCACATGCCCCCTGTGACTACCTCTAGCTTTACTTGGGCTTGTGAACTATTTTATGACTGCTTGTTGTGTTGATTACACCCCACTTTGGCTATGGGGGTGTGTCAGAATCATGTAATTGTCTAGCCTGCAGTGGGGTACTCTATAGCGAGTACAACCCAATTAGGGTTTCCTATATGTATCTCAACAACTGCTAGTGCAAACCTCTCTTTCTGCTTCTAAACTTTTCTTCGTACTTGTGACAAAGAGCACAGGCACGTGTCGCAGAGTGGAGGCCATGAGAGGCGCAGAGACGAGGAAGAGAGGAACGAGCTCCACGAGAAAGTGGTAGAAGTTGGTCCTGGGTTGGTGCGCCTAGTTGAACACGGTTGGCACATGGTGCACCATGTGATTCGCCTCATACTTAACCTGGTGTGGCAATAGGGAACGGAAGGGAGTGCAGTGAGCGCTAGGCTTTACACAACACAGGTATGTGGTCGAGGTTGTTTCCGGGTTGGTGCGCCCAGTTGAACACGGCTGGGACCTCGTGCAGAATGTGATTCAACTCACACTTAGACAGGTGAAAGGGAAGGGAAGGGAGCGCATAACACGCGCAATCTGCATGAGCACACTCTATCTCATCACAACAGCACCCATCGCACATGCACAACCCTTCCTCCATGAAATCCCTCCCTCTCAGCACGCAACCCTCTCTCCTCCACATCATGCCTTCTCACATCACATCCCTCCCTCCCTCCCTCCCTCCCTCCCTCCACACACAGCAGCTCTCACCGTTCTAGGGAAGCGCCCACACTCGTTCCTCACGAACACGTGCGTGCGGTTGAGAATGGACCCGTTGTGCGTCATAAACACATCCTCCAGCCGCATCACCTGCAGCGCGCTCGCCACACGCGAGTTGAAATCTCTTCGGCTCGAGCACGTCTCGTCAAACGGGGCCAACCCCGCTCCCTTCCTCCACTTCTCCAACGCGATGCTATCATTTTTATAAGGGCAATTCATAGGAGGGGCGATTTCAGTCTCGGGTTCGTCCACGAGGTGGGGGTTCCAGCAGGCCTGCACGTTGGGGAAGCGGGCGGTGCATGAGCCAAAGGAGGGGCAGGGAGGGCCGTGGCACCCGAGCTTCTTCACCCAGTCTGACTCGCCTGGGACACTCTCTGCTGCAGCACTTTCCATTGAAGCACTGTCTGCTGCAGCACTTGTAACGTTTCCGATACCATTTCTTAGATAGCCACTTGAGCTGCTCTCTGCACTGCCATTGGAACTATCACTTGAACCGCCACCTGAGATGTCACGTGAGGTGACACAAGAGGCTTCACTCGGCTTGATTGGAGTGCCATTGAAGCTGGCGGGGGAAGGCTTGGCGTGGAGGTGTTTGAAGAAGCCCATGAAGACGTTGGAGAGGCGGGAGGCGTCGAGAGGGCAGCCCAATGGGCGAACGACAAGGTTGACTCGCTCCCGGTGATTCCTGACGTGGAATGGTAGGGACGAGAGGGGGGAAGGGTGGGGGGGAGTGGGTGGGGAGGGGTGAAGAACGGAAGGAAAGAGAGTGGGAGAGAGGGGTGTTGGGCAGGCGAGAAGCGTCCAGAGAGCACCTCAGGATGGCGAGCGGCACGCTTGACTCGCTCCGTATGATTGCTGGCGTGGTTGGGCGGGAGGGGGGACGAAGAATGGACAAAGAGAGCGATTGCTTCTAAGCCAACCAAAAAGAAAATTTGTCACGGGGGTGTGGGTGTGTGTGTCGGCGTGTGGTGTGTATCGGGTGTGAATGTGGGGTGTGTGTGTGTGGATGTGTGTGTGCGTATGTAGTGCTTGTGAGTCTGTGCGTGTGTAGTGCTTGTGAGTGTGTGTGTGTGTAGTGCTTCTTAGCGTGTGCGTGTGTAGTGCTTGTAAGTGTGTGCGTGTGTAGTGCTTGTGAGTGTGTGCGTGTGTAGTGCTTGTGAGTGTGTGCGTGTGTAGTGCTTGTGAGTGTGTGCGTGTGTAGTGCTTGTGAGTGTGTGCGTGGTTTTACCCTAAATTCCAAAACAAAAGGCCGCAACTTTACACCTTGGCGTGTATGCATGCGTGCGCGCGGGTGTGTGTGAGTGGGTGGGTGTGTGTAGGTATGTGGGTGTTCCTAGTGATAAAATGCTCCAGCAAGCAGCACTTAACTAACTGAAACCGCTCTTGCAAGCACCGTCAACTGACCTTAAACGCGTTGGCAGGTAATAGTTGAGCTCGCCTTCAAACTCCCCCACCCGGCCCACCAGATGCCGGCTTGGAAAAACCTGGACGTTGATTGCTGCTGGGAGTAATCATCACGGTTGATGGAAGGAAAAGGAAAGGGACGGAAGGGGAAGGAAGGAAGGGGAGGGAAGGGCAAGGAAGGGGAAGGAAGGGAGGGAGGGTAAGGAAGGGGAAGGAAGGGGAAGGAAGTCGAAGGAAGGGAAAGGAAGGGAAGGAGGGGAAGGAAAGGGAAGCGGAGGGAGAAAATCAACCATGGGTACAACGGGAGGGAGCACAGCAGCTTTATTGGAAGTTTTCACCATGGTTCAAGGTGGTTGCATTGAAAGAATCACCAAGAAAAAAATGCGGTGACTTCAAGTCGAGAATCGTCAAGAAGACTGAAGACGGAAGGGTGGAGTGTGTCGGCCTACCCTCGTCACCACCATTCACGGTGGATTTGACCGTGAATCTGAGAGGTGCAGCCTTGACGAAAACCATCAGGAAGACGGCAACGACCACTGGCAACAGCCGGTGACCAGCAAGGGCGTGTGCCATCGTGATAGCTCTTGATTCCGTCAAAATGTGAGAGCAGCGGAACGGTTTGCTATTAAAAGGAGTCTGGTGAGAGCCCGTGAGTATTCAGTGCAAAAGTGAGGCTCACGGGGAATGAGACAACACCCAAGAGAAGAGTGGGAGTGCAAGCCGCTTCTAGGTTGACGTGACATTTATAGTACTGCGAGTAGTAGGTAGTGAAGGCTTCAGCGGCCGGTGCACGGACGCACAAGGAGGCGAGGGAGCTCACCTGGCGATTGGACTGGCGATGGGATTGGGGACTGGCGATGAACTGGCGATGACTGGGGGGAGCGCTCGCACGCAACATAATTTAGCAAGATTCACGAGCAGAGGCTCAAAATCATGTTCGTTTGGAGCCTTTTCCAAGTCGTCTCGGACATACCAGTACATCCTGACCGACTTAATCGGCGAAATGGGCTGTATCGCCTTTGCCGCTGCATGATCATGCCCTCTTACGACGACACTAGGCGGCAAACTACGCAGCATACCCCTGACAACATTTTCTCTTGAATCTAGCCCGCTGCGTGGCTCCCAGCCAGGGGGTTTCGGAGTGACTCGAGTCACCTCCGGCGCTGAGGTGAGTTTGTCCCCAAGCCACATATCGTCAGGTGATCGATCACTTGATGGCCAGCACCCAGCGATATCCACATGACCAACAAGACCCGCATACGCAATGGGATGGGGTCAAAACCTAGATACGCGAGGTCGTGTTTTAGGTCATTCGTCGCTTCTTGGCTGCTTTGGCGTGGTGCGCCGCGCCGCAGGACATTTTTGCATTTTTGTCACTTCTTGACGTAGGCCACACGGAAAAGCTTTCGAACCTGAGCTACTAGAACAAACCCCAGAGAGAATGTGGTTACAATCCCGGCAAGATGTCTGCAATTGCCTTTTCCGCGATGCTGCAAGCAGGCCAGACGAACCCTGGGACCAAAACTTAAAATCCGGGCCAGGATGTGCCCTTTACTCAGGCAAAAACATTGGGAGGAGGGGGAGGGGATTTTAAAGGCAAAAACATGGAGGGGGTGGGGGGGGCTCCAAACAGTCGTTTTGGGTCGTTTTGTCGAACACGGTCTGTCCGGAAAAAAAATGTGTGTGTGTGTGTGTGTTTGTGTGTGTGCGTGCGTGCGTTCGTGCGTGCGTGCGTGCGTGTGTGTGTGTGTGTGTGGGTGTGGGTGTGGGTGTTGTCAACATGAGTGGTGGTAGGCCCCGTCCTCGCTTGTGCAGAGCCGACTTTGTGGTCGGTGTAACGGGTGCAGCCGACCTGCAGCAGTGGGCGAGCTGGTCGACGAGGCTGGTCGACCTGCACAGGGGCCACTGTAAGGGCGCCGACTTCGGAGGGCACCGACATGGTGACGCCGACTTGGGGCAGCCGACTTGGGTGATCGGCTGACAGGTGTGCTGGTCGACCTGGAGTTGGTCGACCAGGGGAGTGGTCGACTTGGAGTTGGTCGACCAGAGGTGGTAGTCGATCTGGGTGGTCGATAGGCCCGAGAAGATGCACCTGGTTGACGTGGTTGCCTGGTCGACCAGGTTACCTGGGCGACGGGGTCAGCGAGGTGCGCGACATGTGGTCGACATGGTAGATTGGTGAAGATGCCTTGCGATTCGGTGGCATGTGGTTGACATGGCCCCACAGGTGTAACCGTCGACATGTGGTTGACCTGGCACCTGCGCTATGTGTGTGGCGATGCACGCTGTGCTACACTGTCACCTGGCACCTGCGAAGTTGGTGCGCGCACATGCGCATATGGTGGCCTGATGTTGTTGTGCTGGGACGCCAGCCTTGCAGGTCGAATGAGGACACCTGAGGACGCCTGAGGTCGCTCAGCTGGCAAGTCGCCCTTGTGCTGTGCTGGTGGTCGACTTTGCTGTGGGCTAGACTATTGGCTTCTGATGTAGTTCTTCTTGTCAATCTTAGTGGAACTCTTGCCAATTACCCCCTTGAACCAGCAAGTAGTGTGCGCACTAAGGAAACAATGGACGAACGCAGAGACCACTCACGCCTCATGCCTAGCCCGTAGTCTAGCTCCCGTTGCAATAGTTATCTCCGCATGGTGCGGCGAGCGTGGACGGCACCGCGACTTACTTTCAGTCTAATCGACTTAGTCCCACATACCTATTGCGTTCGTGGGCCAGCAGCTGTGCGATTGTCACCATGGTTGGCGTAGGTAATACAGGTGTTGCTGACACCTTTGAGGCATGGCTGGAGGACGCGAGGAAACGCCACCATGATGGGGAATACGAACAGACCCTCCCCTTGGCGGTCATCGAGGCGGGAATCCGTACGGTGTGGGCGGAGGAGCACCCTCCCCAACCTTCCTCTCCTCGACTGGTGAACGAAGGCAACGTCTACGTGGGCGTCAACGTCGGTGGTGACCAAGTCGGCAGCAGTGCGGGAGGCACGACGTTGAGGCAGAGAGGAGTGATACACGCCGATGAAGTCGGCGGCGTTCAGGCTCAAGGACTACAGTCGTCGGCGGCTGCAAGTGTCAGAGTATTATAGCTGATGCATGTTTGTAGGCTATAGTGGGGTAGCACATATGGGGTACAGCTTTCTAGGGTTGTATTTGTACCCAACTCTGACCTAGTCATTTCATTCCTGTTCATTCTTTTCACATGGTATAGAGCGGGTCCCTCCTTAGGACCGTTTTTTTTTAAGGGCCCACCCACGATTTTTTTTCCTGCCCGGAGCGCGCCCTATTCTCCCCGAGGCGCGCTCCCCCCTAGTGCTTGTCGCGCTGCCCTTGGGGCGCCCCGCGAGTCGCGCGCGCGACTCCCTTTTTTTTTCGCGCGCGCGGCCTGGGCCCCACGTCGCGCTGGCCTTAAGGCCGCGCCGCGCCGCCCTCTCGGCTCTGCCGCGCCGCGCCGCCCTCACGCCGGCCGCGTGGCCTCTTCGTCGCTGCAGCGGGCCCAGTCACCTGCCGGCCCCGCCGTCCTACTCTCGGCCCCGCCGTTGCAACCTGACGGCCCCGCCACTTCACCTGTCGGCCCCGTCGCTGCACCCTGACGGCCCCGCCGTCCCCTGTCCCGGCCCCGCCGCTGCACCCTGCCGGCCCCGCTGCTGCACCTCTGTCGGCCCCGCCGCTGCACCCTGACGGCCCCGCCGTCCCCTGTCACGGCACCGCCGCTGCACCCTGACGGCCCCGCCGTCCCCTGTCCCGGCCCCGCCGCTGCACCCTGCCGGCCCCGCCGCTGCACCTCTGTCGGCCCCGCCGCTGCACCCTGACGGCCCCGCCGTCCCCTGTCACGGCACCGCCGCTGCACCCTGACGGCCCCGCCACTGCACCAGTCGGCCCCGCCGCTGCACCCTGACGGCCCCGCCGTCCCCTGTCCCGGCCCCGCCGCTGCACCCTGCCGGCCCCGCCGCTGCACCCTGACGGCCCAGCCGTCCCCTGTCCCGGCCCCGCCGCTGCACCCTGCCGGCCCCGCCGCTGCACCCTGACGGCCCCGCCGTCCCCTGTCCCGGCCCCGTCCTGCACCCGAGCCGCCCTGCCGCCGAGCCGCCCGGGAGCCGAGCCGCCCTGCACCCGAGCCGCCCTGCCGCCGAGCCGCCCGGGCGCCGAGCCGCCCTTCACCCGAGCCGCCCTGCCGCCGAGCCGCCCGGGAGCCGAGCCGCCCAGCAGCCGAGTCACTGAGTCGCCGAGCCGCCCTTCTGCAGAGTTGCTCGGCCTGCCCTGCCTGGTGAGCACAGTCGCACTGTCACTGCGTGCTCTTCCCCTACTGCTTGCACTGCTTCGCTGTCGTCGTCATGGCTACCCCTAGTGTCCTAGCTTTTGACGCTGAGGGTCGCGCCATTGATTTTGAGGTCTGGTTAGACGACCTGCAGCTGTTCTTACAGTGCGATAGGGCTGACAGCCTTTCTCTCTTTGACCTCACCTCTGGCGCCTCTCCTGCTCCTGCTGCTGATGCTGATCCCATTGTCCGCTCTCAGTGGGCCACCCGCGATGCTGCTGCACGTCTTGCTGTGCGTCGCCACCTCCCTACCTCTGAGCGTGCGCACTTTAGTCAGTACAAGAGTGCTCAGACCTTGTACGACGCTGTAGTTGCGCGCTACTCCTCCCCTGCCACTGCTGCACTGAGCCGTCTCATGCTTCCCTACCTCTTTCCTGACCTCTCTGCCTTTCCCACTGTCGCTGACCTCATTACGCACCTCCGCACTAGTGACACTCGCTACCGCGCCGCCCTTCCTGCTGAGTTCTGCGCTAAGAACCCACCCCCCATGTACATCGCTCTCTACTACGTAGTCGCGCGCCTCCCTGACTCCCTTCGCGTCGTCATGGACCACTTTCTCGCAGTCTGTCCCACCACCCTCACCGTCGACCTCCTCAAGAAGGCCCTCCTCGCAGCGGAGAAGAGCATAGTCGCTGTAGGTGCTTCTCGTGGTGACCCTCGCACCCCCATCTTGAGGGGTGCTCTCCTTCCCCCTTGCTGCCCTCTGTTGCCTCTGCTGCTGCTGCCGACCTGCTTGGTCTTGAGTCGGTCGGCGCGGCGTCTGTCCCTAGTGGGAGACGACGCTCCAGCAAGGGCAAGGGGGGCAAGGGCGCGGGTGGAGCTGGAGGGGGCGGTGGCGGTGGCGGCGGTGGCGGCGGAGGGAGTGGGGGTGGCGGCGGGACTAGTGGCGGGGGTGGTGGTGGTGGTGGCAGCAGCGGCGGAGACGGTGGTGGTGGTGCCAGCGGTGGTGGTGGTGGCAGCGGCGGAGGGGGAGGCGGCGGAGGTGGAGGCGGTGGAGGCGGCAGCGGAGGAGGCGGTGGTGGTGGAGGAGGTGGAGCTGGTCGGGGTGGTACCCAGCAGCGTAGCGGTGGTGGTGGTGGCCAGCGCTCGCAGCGGCAGCAGCAGCAGCGCTCGCGGGACATCCCTCCGCCTCAGCAGCTTCGTGAGTGGTACGCTGGGCGTAAGAGGGGTGGGGGTACTGGTCCCTGCACCTACGTTCTTCGTTCCGGCGACCGCGCGGGTGAGCAGTGTGGGGGTGCCCACGCTACCCAGCGCTGCTTTGGCCGCCTGACGGACGCTTGGCGTCAGCAGTTCTCTGGGGCTACTGAGATCCCTCGCTGGGATGAGCTTCTTAGGACTGGTGTAGCGATCTTTGATCTTGATTTTGATGCTATCCTTGCTGCTATGTATGCTGTGACTTATAGTGAGGAGAATGAGGGTT